TGCGGCCGCGGTGTGTCCCACCCCCCCCCCCCCCCCCCCCCGCTCTGCTCCTAGGCCGCGCCGGTGCCCGTCCCGATCCGTGAGCATCTGACTGGGTTTTATGGGGCGACCGTGCTCATTTACGCTCTGAAACGACGCGATTACGTTGGGGAATCCGTGTCGTTTTGGGTTATTACAAAAATAATCCCAACTCCGGCTGGAGTTTGGCACCGCCCTGTGCTTGGGTACTGTGGTGGTGCCGCCAACGGAGGAGACATGGTTCGGTAAAGACGCGGCAGCTACGCTTACAGCTATTCCTTCTCTTGTTCTGACTTGTGTTCAGGGGCTCAGCCAGCGTTAACTACTGCGTCTCCGTTTCCTCTTCCTCTATAGCAAAATTTCCCTTGGGAGGGCCGGGAATATGTCATGCGTCGCTAAATCCAGCTTTTTCCCTTGCACAGGAGCTCTCCCAGCTGCTCTGTGTCTCCTGACAGCCTGGGTCGCGGCTCACAAACCGTCCTGGCTGGCTCAAACCTCAGACACGCTGCGGCAGCTTAGCTTTTCTGTGCCTTGCCCTACAGAAGTGTTGTGTCTGAACCAGCCTGCAGAGCTTTAGAGGAGAGAAAGCAGTTGCTCGACTTCGTACCTAAGCAGGACGACAGCTGAATGTTTTTGCAGGGTGTATCTTGAGGTTTTTTTATTGCAGCTGATTAAACTGAGCTTTAAACGACTTCACAGCACAGTGCTTCCTGCCAGGCGCGGTGGCAGTCAGATTTTCCATTAGTGTTCCAGCTGCCCTGCCCAGTTCCTCGGGCGATGGGTTATACCTACGCTATCTATATGGTGAAAATAGCATCTCCCTTTTGGAGACTGCCGAAGCTGCGTGCTGAAAGTCCTGCTGCTTTCTGTGTCCTGTTAGAGCGACCAGGGCCGGTGTCCTCGCCACCGGGATTGCTGTGTCCAGCCGTGGACTAAATCATATGTCTTAGACATTTCCTCTTGAGCCTAGGCATCAAATCTCCTGTAGGAAGCTGTTTAAATGTTTAATTATGTTTACTCTGTTGAGTTTGAACTTCGTTAGCCTGCTCTGTGTCTGTTGTAGTTTATCCTGTCTTTGTTATGCTACAGCACCTCCGGCTGTCCGCGAGCCCCTGCTGGGTGACCCTGGTGAGCTCCTTGGCACCTTGGCCGTTCGTTGCAGCGATTCTCTCCGCTCTTGAGAACAGCGTGAACGTGGCTGAGTGTCTGACCCTTTGTTGACAGATATATAGAGGCATTAAATATCTGTAACATAAGGAGGAGGACGTTTGCTCAGACCAAAGGCTTTCTAGATGTGTGTTTTTCCCTGTCTGTTTGTTCTGATAATTCCCAGTGTCCTGTTTTGACTGCTGCTGAGCAGCAAGCTAGTGTTCTCAGGGAACTTGCTGGGAGAGCATGCATTTTTTTTTTCCCCTCCCTTGCAGTGGTTAACACAAATTGGAAATGTTTGCCTTTCTCCAACCTGCATTCCTCTTTTATCTAGCAACTTTTATCTACCAAACAGACTGTATTTGCCATTTTATTAGTCTTTTGAATTCCCAGGGTCCTTTTTTGACTGGTGCTGGAGAGCAAGCTAGTGTTCTCAGGGAACTTGCTGGGGGGGCATGGCTTTTTTTTTTTCCCCTCCCTTGCAGTGGTTAACACAAATTGGAAATGTTTGCCTTTCTCCAACCTGCATTCCTCTTTTATCTAGCAACTTTTATCTACCAAACAGACTGTATTTGCCATTTTATTAGTCTTTTGTTATCGTGAGAGCTTTCTACAACTGTGAACAGCTTTGGATTTTGCTGTCCTGGAAGTCTGTGCTCTATCCCAAAGGATCATCAGTTTTTGTTGCATATCTATTCCTCTCTTCTCCCATCTAGTTTTTATGAATCTGCTGAATGGATTGTAGCTGGAATCTCTTTTCATTATGGATTCATCCTAGATTTGCTTCCTTTCTTTTAATCTGCCATAGACTCTCCTTAGTCCAGCTTCGTTTCCTCAAAAGCCTTTACGAGGGACGCTTCTAGTAGCTTTTGGGGAGTGCTAGTGCATGGTATTTTTTTTTTTTAAATAAATCAATTGACTGTATGAATAAACTCTAGCACATTTCTCAGAAGTGAGGTTCTTTTAAAAAATGTTGGTATCTCTCTCCCAGCATGTTATAATTAAAGTGTGAACTCTTCATTTACAAGATGATGTTGGAGCAGCCTCGCCCCCGTCAGAAGCAGTGATACTGGGTGCTGCCTGGTACCAGGCTTTCAAAGTAGACGGTTTTAATCTTGCAGGTTAAAAAAATAGTTCTGTTGTGTCTTGTAAACTGGTGCTTTAATTAGTCTTTATATGGCTGGTAGCAAATAAATGAACATACAGTAGTGTGTAAGCGATGTTCTAATACATTGTTTTCGAAGTAGCTGCTGCTGTTGTTTCTCTCAGCTGGTTGGTTGATGTGTTTAAAGCAAGTTGACTTAACGTGTCTGAGTAATTGGTAAGAGGCCATCCTGTGAATGCCCTCTTAAAATCCGTGGCATTCTTAATTTTGGGGTTTTTTTACCTAAACCAGAGCTGTATCATCATGTCTTTTGGTATCTGGGCTGGCCTCAGATGTCATGAAACATTGTGGGAACTGCCAGTGGAATTCAGAAAAATGGTCTTTTGTAATTGGGAGCTCAAAGAGCCTTTGACATAGTATGTGTATTTATTTTTGTTAATGAAGTCTGGTACTTCTTTCATGTCTGTTGTTCTTTCTATCCCAGTAAGGATGATCTTTATTTGCATGTGAGGGTGGGTTTTTTTGGGGGGATGTTACGAATATAGGTATTGGGCCGGTACAGTCTGATAAGCCGGTCAGTGAGTCGGTGCTGGTATCTTAGCCCATCATCTGATGTGAACTGCTCCTGCCACCAAGAAGCCATCCTCTCTCTTCCTGGCTATTTTCCACCTCTCTGTCCCCCCACCCCAGCCACTCCCTGCATAATTTATGGAGTGAGCAGGAGCAGGTGAAACTGTGGTTGCAAAGGCTGACTCTTGATGACAGCGCTGTTGTAAATGCCTGAGGAATTACAGCTACCAACCTGGGGACTTCCCCATGAGTGGCTTGCAGAGCTGATTCAGAAGTCCTCATGGCTCTGCCTTCCTGCTCATCACAGGCTGCTGGGCTGGAGGCAGCCTTTGGTAACCGACAGGAATTCCCTGCCCTTCAGTGACTTGGTGCCAGCGGCTGCTGTTAGTGCTTTGTTCCCCTGATGTTAAGACGCTTTTAATGAAACAATTGGGCTAAGCTGTTCAGTGTAGCAGCAAAGTTCTGTCTTTGCTGAGCACCTCT